TGCACTCACAAGCCCATCCTGAGACCCCCATCCCTAAAGCTCTGAAGAGACAGTACCAGACACGGCCAAACTAATGCTGCTTAAGCAAGTCTGTTCAGATTCAAGCTCTCCTATCCCGAGGTAGACCTTAACACAGTGCAGCTCCACCAAAAGCAAAACCACACCAACAGGCACTATAAGGACTTGAGGAAAAATACAGGGAAAGATACCAATTAGCCCACTAGCACAGTGGTTCAGTGCTGTCCCTTATTGGTATTCAGGCAACAGTCCCGCAGAACCCATCCTGGCTGCAAGCTGAGCAATCACCTTATTACACTGCTGCAAATGTGGAGTTTGAAAATGCTTAGAAGCCATCTAGTTAGAAACCACATTTCCAGCAAATACCATTCCTCTTTCAGGCTCTTGAGTCTTTCCAAGGGGACCAGTGATTCCAGAAAGGCAGTCTAAGGAGGAATGGTCTTATATACTCAGTCAGCCCACATTTAATCTTGTGAAATACACACACCAAAATACAGCATCACATCTTACCAGAAAAAAACGTAAACGACCGCCTTGATACAAGGCAGTTCCTCAGATACAAAGGACCGACGTACTGAGATGACGCGAACAGGCAGGTTTTTTGAGTACCCCAAGAAATAACTCCATAGGACCTGAGAGCATTTTTGACCACTGCTGGCAAGTGCACTTCCAGTGAAAGCCAGGGCATGTGCTGCTCTTTTCTGCCCATCTCCAGGGCTGCTGCCGCCTGGCTCCTGTCGTGCGGGCTGCGTTCAGCAATGACTCGTAGCTGCTGAAATACCCTGCTCTAGGGATGATCAGCCAGGTCCTCTTTCTTCCCAGATGTTGCACTAAATATTTTGTGATTTTTTTGTTGTTGTTTTGCTTCAAATATTCAGCAGAGAAGCAAGCATCCATTTAATTTTGGCAGGGAAGAAGGAAGGCAGAGAACACGTGCCCAACAGTGGCAAGCAGAACAAGTGGCTTCTTCCTTAGGGCACTTGGCCCAGGGCCTCAGTGGATTTTGCTCTAGAAACCCAGGAAGGGAACGACAGCAATCAGAAATTCGTTGAAAGGTCAGGACTTCTGTATCACAAGCTAAAAATACATATCACTTAACCCACTCTTCTAAGTGCAGGAATCTGAGACCACAAAAACTGCGTACAAACTAGTTTCCACTGGGCTCAAAGAGCTCATCACAGAAACCCAGGCTGGAAATAGTTACATACATCATCCAGATGACACCCCTGCAACATCCCATTAAGGGTCCAGAATGACGGGAGCTCCACACAGCAGGCTGCAGGGGCTTCTTAAGGACTTCTCCGAGGTAAAGAACAATTTTCACCTGCCCCAGAATTCATACTGACCTTTCAAATGGGAGAAGCCACAAAAGCTACTTGACAGAGGACCTCACGGCAACTAGGCACTTGGCAGATACTCTTGAAGCCCAAGTGATCCTACTCTTATAGAGCACTGCAGAAATAGCTGTCCAGTAGGGACAGCCTCCAAATGTGGAAGGGCAAAACTGCTGAATGTCAATGGACCGCAACAGCCTGCTGAATTATTCTAAAATCCAGCAGTGTTCCAAGTCCCAGTCAGGAAAAAAGCAGCAAAATTACAAAAGAAGAGACAGCACTACTTGCCGCACTACTTGCTCTGCTCCATGGCCAGGGTGGCACCTTTACACCAGAAGGTTTCAGAACGGCAAAGGAAGCAGCAAACTCCAGGAACTCCATATTCCTGGTTCACGTTGGGAAATAAGGTTTCCAAACAGTTCATAGAGTCCAGCAGCACCTCTGAAAGGAGAGGGGGGCTGGATTTCTTACAGTTAAGCCCGCTGCAATACATTTATCTGTCACCTCTCTATTTGAGGTTGTGCTGTTTCTCCCCCAAGATAGGCTGAGTGAGACTTATGTGACAATGAAGTATTGGCGTTGTCCCTCCAGCCACGGCCAGTGGATCAGGACAGTCCATGAGATGTTCTGATGCTGTTTCACATTCCTTAACCGCTTCCTGAAAATCTGCTGGCAGATGCTGGACTCCTTACGAGTCCTGCTGGTGATAAACACAGAGGGCTGGAGCTGGTGAACGGCTGTCTAGCAGCACCTGAAAAAAGCATCACTTTTCCTGGGATGTCTGCCTCACTGGAAGGAACACTCTTCACTAAGAGCCAAAGCCACCATAACTAAACCACCTGACGCAAAGGAACAGGAAAGGCTGGCATTTTCTGAGGTATGTGCTGCATGCTTGCCATTGGGAA